ATATCACCGAGGATCCGCGCAACCCACCCGCCCGACACCCACGACATAAAAACTTCAACCTATTTGCTATTTAAGCTACCTAAATTATAGTTTACCTATTACCATCGTCTAATCTAAACCAACTACTTATCTCGTGTATTATCGTTAAAAAGATATCGTTAAATATTGTATTTTATTAAAATGAAGTTCTAAAACAAATTAATTTTATTATTTATAGTAGAAAGAATGCAGCGTTAACCCTTTGCGATCGGCACATTTCTCTGGTTGGACTATCAGCTAGTCGAAGCAAATTTAAATTTTCAAAGTTATTTTTGCATAGTTTATTTATTATATATATAAGGATATTGAAAAACAGAATATTTTGAAACTGATACATTTTGTTTAATACATACTAGTTATAGTGCATAAAAATAAAACGTTTTAATTTTTGTAATTTTCCAAAGTATGATACTTGACAAAACAAAGATCATGCCGCCATAGCGGCGACACCGATTTCTAGAACAAAATTGAAATGCCGCCACTATGGCGGCACCGATCGCAAAGGGTTAAAAGCGATGGGTTCACGTTTAATTTTTAGAATCAAATTTTTAGATGAATTGTTCTCGAAACTTTATTGTCACACCTGATACGCAATCGGTCAAAAATTTCAGGCTACTTGAAAATTTACACCAATATTTCTCAATAGCAATTTGACTTTGTTTCGATAGATTAGAATAACAAAAAAGTTCGTTAAATGTTTCCTAAATTGGCTACCTTCTTTCTGCAAAATTTTCAAGCTTTTGGCCGACAGTGTACATATTTGGAATTTCGTGCTGTTTTATTTTGGATCAGAATAGGTTTATTGCAGTTTTGGCTATAATTAACACATTGCATACGGAACTTTATCTTCTGTATTACAGAAACTAGAGACTAGTATCTTTTTGATTTTTCAGTGGTTCTTTCTCCAAGCATACAATTTGTCATTTGCCTTACTGATTTACTTCATTAACAATAGTTACGTATCTATTATTTTTCCATTTCGATTTTATTTATTCATACTTATCTTCCGAGGACGAAATTTCAGTAGAAAGTACCGTTCGACTTCACTCGGGAAAATTATACAACTTTTCTTGTATGCGAATTTTTTTATTGTCAGTTCAATTAAACACTTTTGCTTGTTACGCTGTTTATCATTCGTAATCACATTTGCATATCGTGACATAGATATAATTCCATAATCCCTCTACAATGTTCAGTTGCGGGATATCTCATGAGCCGGACGCAATGTGTTAATACTTGACGAATGGTTCATATCTATCATTCGACTAATCCACCGACTATAATCACCCGTTGCTACGCATGAGACTCAAAATTGGAAACGACGCAACAGCAAACATGCAAATATACAAAGCAAGTTTCGTTTATAGGAGAGAGAGAGAGAAAAAGAGAGAGAGAGAGAGAGAGAGAGAGAGGGACCAGGCATGTCAGAAACAGACCGAACGCGGCTCTGTCGTGTATCATTTTCGTTCCACCGACGCGATTTCGACTATACACCGAGCCTCGAATGTGAGAAACTCCGTGGATTAAAACCGAGTATATACGGGATTACCTGGGATACACCGCGAATTTATGCGTCTTCGTAAGACACGGTGCTTCTTCATGTTTGCAGAGAGAATTGTAATAGCGAGGGGGAACGGTGTGGAGTGGTGGTTTGTTGGGAATTTTAGGGTAATTTTGGTGCACGTTGCTCTGCTTTAGAGACGGTGCTGAGAAATTGAGAACAGAGTAATTAGCGCCCGACTTCGTTTAGCGATCTACGTATGCACGAAACTCAATTAGAATTCTCTGAAATTTCGAAGAATTCGATCTTCAAAATATATCCTATATAGACAAATAACGAACCTTATTTTACAGATTTTACAAGGTGAAAATATGAATTTTGAAAATTCTAAATTAATGTAAAACATTCGAATTCAATATTGAATTCCTTCTCATAATTTTCCAAAATGAAATTTTATTTAAAAATAATATTCAACGAACACAAAAATTCTGAATTAAAATCAAACATTCCAACTACCTTCCATACTGAACTAACAAAACATTCAAATTTCCTAATTTCTTAACTAATCATCCCCTCTATCTCACCGTCTTCTTTCCCACGCGAAATAGTCTCCGCGATCCTTCACCTCCAGAAAACAACCCGCAATTCAGCCAGGAAATCACATTCGACGGTTCCAACGTTCGCCAATTTCGGCTAGATACCAGCGTATCGCGGGACAACTGGCCAGCCAGATAATCCGCAGAATGGCGCGAGATAATTCAGCGGATTCCGCGAGGCCGGATAACCGAGACGGAAGCGATTACAGGCGTTGGAAGGCGGCATCGAAATGACACAACACAGAATAAATCACGGGAAAGGAGAGACGTGTGATTACGGTTAGGCGAACGTTGCACAGAGTTTACGAGGGATTCTGTTATCTGATACGAACTCGCTAGACGGCGTCAAGTGCAACATTCAGGTAGCCTGCTCACGTACTTTTCTACCCCTTCTCTTTTCCCATTTACCGCCAGAGAATTTTTCTTCTCTCATTCAACCTGTAATTACTTCAATTTTTCTCTTTGCTTTCCGAACGACCAATTTGACAGTATGAATGTTTAGAGCGAGTGAGCGAGTTTCGAGAGCTAGAGAGAAGAGGGTTTGGATCGAGTGGCTGAGATCAGGGTGCAAAAGAAGAACGCATGGCTAGCCAAGGTTTTAGGTGAACGTGTCCTGGGAATGTTTGCGTGGTTTGTCCGGGTACAGTGAAAGGGATGATGGAACGGAGAAAGAGAGAATGTGTGGGTTTTGTGTTCTGTTGTTGCTCGAGTTGCAGATTAAAAGAACTGTTTTAACTTCGTTTTATATTTATCACGAGTAAAAATCCCATCTTTTCATTTCGAAGCAGTCATTATAATTAGCCTGCGGATACTTAGGCAATTATGACATATTGAAATATGCAAAATAGGTGAAATTAATTTTGCCTACCTTACCGACTGTGCTAAATATTCTAATTTTACTCTCATATATTTTGCATATGTTAATACATTATACCTGCACAAACATTCGCAGTCCGCCTATAATATTCGCCAATGTTTTCGCAGTATAAATGATCGAAGCTCGCGATTGTCTCACTCACCTTGTTGATCTGTCGTTGCAACTTTGTGATAGTCGCTCGATCTCGCTGCGAAGCGAGGCGTTCAGCTTGTAATGCCTGCTCCAGTTCCTGGACTCGCTCTTCCAGACTCTCCTGAAACACCCAATAATTCTCCGTGAAAAACAATTGGAAAAAAATCCCCAAATTTACGAGTAAAGCGCACGAGAAATCTCGCGATTCTACGTAGAAAATTAATTCGGTCGCGTAAGACACCGGGTGTTTCTGTTATATTGCTAATATCGATGGCTGAAAACACGGGGAAAAAATTACACACCACCACCCCTCTCTCTAAATTCGTAACTTGGAGTTTGTGTGTACTCGACGTTAACGAACCCGGAAAAAAGAGGAGATCCCAGAGTTACGGAAACATTTAACGAACTCCGTTGGCGGTATTTTTTCCGCGGAGAGAAAAAACGGAAAAAAAAAAAGAAATAGAAGGAGAAAAAAATCGTGTAACTGACGGGGGAGGAGCGGGTTGAACCGGTATTTCTCGGTTTCCGCAGAGCCGAATCGGCCATCCGCGTGCTCGTAATCTCCAAGTACACGTAGGAGCGCGATCTCTCGAGGAACTTTAAGCCCCTGTTAAGGCAGCTTAAAACTCGAGCAACAGGAATTACGGAAAGTTTCCAGTTCCGTTGCGTTTGCGGCCGCGGAAGTTAATTGAGAAACGGTCGAGCGTAAGCTTTCGATCTATGCGCGATTCCGGATCCAATCGCCGCGCCGCGCCGGCCAACTGGGTCCCTCAGATAACGTTACCTGGAACTTCGGTCCTTGTTCAGGTTAAGGGACGATTTTTTAGTTTAGATTTGAACGGAGATACCGGACCGCTTGGTAATCAGACGGAAGATTGCGATCGATTTGAAAGTTTGGGACCACTGTGCGTGCCATTGCAAAGTAGCGATCTTCGGGTCGCTTTTGACCCATAGCCTTCTTATTTTTTTAATAACTTTTGGTGGTATTGAGTTTCCTTAACATTGTGGACCATGAAAGATAACACTATCCTTCCCTTAACATTGTATTAAAAGTTTATCGTCTAGGTTTACATAGCGTGCTGATAAAAATTCTTACACATAAGGTCTTCGGGTCTTTTTTGATCCCAGAGACATCACTCTCCATTTACTAACAAGTGAAATAAGAATTTTATCAAAAATTAACCGAAGAAAAACGAGGGACTGATCGCTAGATCCATCTAATCCGAAAACCGTCGATTTTAGAGGTCGACATCCCTCGAGTACCGAAAAGCCGATGAATCGGCTAGCGGTAGATAAAGTGTGAAGTGTTACAAGGGTTAAAAATCTGACCAAGAAAAACCCAGGAGTTTACCTATTCCAATTAAAATTAACAATTTCCCCACGAACGGGCAAGGTTGAATTTACCCCGTAAACACCAACCAGCCGTAAAAATTGCACCAAGTGAAGGAAGCACCTGAGAAGTCACGTTCCAATCGTAAAAAAGCCCCAGCTCTCTGTCTTCGAGGTCCCGACAATCCGACGGCCCTTTTCACTTTTTCGCCCTGGTAACCCTACCGCCGCCCACGGAATAATAACTCGTGCTCGCCTAATTTACGTCTTCGACCAGGGTATTTCCGATTATCAAAAGCGCTCGTTCAGCCGTGAAACGAACGGAATGCTAATGAGTCGACCCACGAGGGCTGTTGGTCGCGATTTGACCATAAGTATCGGTGCAATCCATTAGATTCGAGGCGACGCCGACGGTTTCAGGGGTCCTCGAGTGTCGACCCAACGACGTTTCGCGTTGGCGCGACCACGCGGGGGATGATTCGTATGCGGGGGCACGTAGCTGCAATTCACCCTTTCCAACCCCTCCGCGCTCGAGTCCACGTTTTAGTGCTCCACGAGTACGCCTGGCTATTGTTTGTCGCGAACCAACGAAATTATACCGGGTGGTCCGCGTGACGTCGATCGCGTCTCGGTTGGACGGCACGGGGTAAAAGGCGAGTCGGTGAATTTTTGGGGGGGTTGATTGATATTGCAAAATTAGTTGCGGGAGTTGATAGTAAATTCTGTTTCTTTTTGTAAATTATTTATTAGAATGCTGTTGAACGTGTTAGAGGTGGCGTGTTGCAGAAGTTTGAGAGCTTTTCGACTGTTTTTTGGTGTTGTTGTGCTTGCGCACGGTGATCTAGCAGGTTGTAGAAACACTGATGAATTACTGGGGAAACTGGTGAATTACCGACGACTCGCGTAATTTACTTTGTTTGAAAACAAAGTTTTCGGAAAGTTTGGTTTCGCAAGTGTGCAAAGTGCTGTAATTTTTATCGCATTGTAAGTTATTTTGTGTTAAATTGCAGTGTGCGTTACAATTACAGGTGTTACGTGTGATATGATAATCTTATCTAAAAATTATAGTTACTTTGGTTTCAAATTTTTTCAAGCCAATTTTACAGATTTTTTTCGTTTAAAAAATATCAACGAGGCGAATATTTTTGTTAGGGGAATTTGGAGTGTTTCCGAACGATCGAGATGAAGTTGCAAGAGAGAACGTTCGCTGGTGAAAGTTCCGTTTGTCTCGGGATTAATTCGTGATACACCCTGTATAAAGTGGCAAGGGTGGATTTCCTTGCCAGCTCGCGTATACTTGTAAATCTGTATTAAAGGGTTTCCAGAATGACCATGGTTGACATTATCGGGAAAGTATTGGTTTCCCTTGGATTAATGGCGCACGCTGCGCCGTGAATAATTATGAGCCAGCCAGGCCAGAACAAACAAGAAAAGATTTAAGGCTCAGTCGCCCCTCGTTGTAATTTTTCTCTCGCTTCAAGGTTGTATATTTTCCTGTGCTTTCCCACCCAAACATTTTCTGCTTTAGTTTTGTTTACGGTGCATTCTCCAACACACGGTAAACGCAATATTTCCCTTCGTTTTTATCAAAATTTCAAACCTCCTACCAGCGAAAATTCTCATATTTTGCTACTACCAATTTTTCTCGTTAGAAAATACATGTCGATTTTGGCTCAAAGTGGAACGTAAGACACTAAAACGGAAAACACAATACTTACTTTCACAAATGATATTCAAAATTTAATTATTTTTAATTCTCAAAGATGAGAAATTGCAAAAAAGATGTTTAAAAAATTTGACGTCACTCAGCAAGGTCGCCAGCTTACAAAGCTAATCACGCGTCTCTTGTTACCCACTTGTTGTCCCAGAAACTTTTGCTACACCCTGTACAATCCAATTCTTCCCGAAATTCCGTCATTCTTCACCCTCCACCCTCGATTCCCCCAGCATCTCAAGAATTCCTTCACGGTCGTCCAGCGAAAGCGGGACATTCCCTAAACAATAAGCCCGTCTGGCCGTATTTTTCCATAATTAATCGGAATCCATCGAATCCTCGCCCCGCATCCCTCCAAGACGGCGTGCGCGTTCTCCGTCTCGTCTTTCAGACGGCAGCGTCTCGTCCACACGGTCGGCGCAATTATAACCAAGCCGTCCTCCCTGTATAACTAGCCCTTGTCTCGTGTTCACCCTTCACGGTGGACGGAAGGGCGTCACCATTCGGAAGACCCATAGAATTAGTACGGGGACTTCCGGGACGTCATTTAAAGTACAGAACCGCCACGATGAGGCCACTCTATATGCAGAGATTCCGTTAAATTGCAAACGCCCATTTTCCAAGGGGCCAATGGTGGGAGGCGAAATGGGCAAGAGGTGAACGAGGAGGGCAAGGGTAAGGTCCCGGGTCCGTGTCGCCCTCGAGTAATCAGACGGTTAACTCGATCCAGGGAACGTTTACGGGACGACAGCTCGAGCCGATTTTCTTATGCCCTCGGAGAGAGAAAAGCTTCCGCGTGTCCTACGACGTCTGTCCGCCTTTCTCGAGGACAGATACTCCTCCCAGGGAATGTTAATCTCGACGGGAATGAATTTATTCCAATTCAACCGAGAAAAGATTAAATCGCGCTCCAAGGACCGGCTAAGGGTGTTATGAAAGAGATTGATTGAACAGGGCCAATTGGCTGTTGTGCAGATGTCTGGCTTGCTGGGATGGCTCGTTTCGCTTTGCAGTTTCAGCGTTGGGAAGTGAAGCTTGGATTAGCTGTTTGTATAAAAGACAGCTTTAATTCACCGCTTATCATTTTTCGTAAAAATGTGGTTTTCACGTAATTTTCAGGACTTTAAATTCTCAAGGCTGCTATGCGGCGTTCTTATTGCTTTTGCGTTGGAGTTTCAGTGTTGAGAAATAAAGCTGAAACACTTTGATACACGACAAATATTTCATTTTCTCTTCGTCATTTTTCGAAGAACGCGATTCTTTCACCCCTTTCGCGGCGTGTAACCGCGACGGAGCTCGATACCGACGAGAAAGAGGCGTCGTCTATTTCGAGAACGAACTATTCAAACGGTCGTGTTTAGGCAAGATCTTGATTTAAGGGTGTTTCGTGTCTCGTTGAGACGCGTCGGGCCGAGCAGCTGTTAGTTGAAATTACGATCGTTTCGCTGCGAAGGTGGAGCGGGGGTGTACGCAACGCGCGGCCAAAGAGAACGCACGGTGTATTCTCTAAAACGCGACGCGGGACCGTCGAGAAATTTGCGCCGACGTCGCGGCGCTCCTTTGTCGTCGCCTGATGCTGACGCGCACGTTCAATTTCGACGTCAACCAAGGTGTGAAACTCCTCTCCAAACAGCGCACCAGCCAACCACGCATCCAGACACTTCCTCTCCCTCTCAAGTCGAGAGTTTCAGTGTTGCAATATATCTTTCTAATTTTCAATAGTATCTTTTACGATTTTATTAACTTAAGTGTCTTTCTGTCTCTGAGGAGAAATTCCGATATTTATCGCGGTACCAGACTCTGAATTATCGGAATTATACTCCTATTATAGAATTTTTCATTTCTCCCAACTCCCGACACTCCGAAAATCGAACGTCTCGCTATCAACTCGTCTTCGCGAAACCGCCGCGAGAGACCCAAGCAACCAGCTCCTCTAAATCACGAACGTTCGTCCGAAGTCAGGAATAGGAAACAGCTCCAAGTCCTCGGGAGCTGTACAATCAAAGGATTTCCCTATTCATAACAGACTAAATCAAGAAGCAGCGACGTGAGACATCAAACAAGCCCATTCGTAATCC